TGGTATATTACATTAATTACTTTTCTCATTTCGAATCATCCCTTAGACATTCCAGGAATAAGTTGTACTTGGTCAGGATGCACCATCATTTAATGTGCTACTGAATTCAGTCTGCTTGTATTTTGTTGAGGATTTCTGCTTCAATAGTCATAAGATACTGATCAATAAGTGTGGAGTTTTTTTTTTTTTCTTTTTTTAAAGAGAGAGAAAGAATTTTTAATATTTATTTTTTAGTTATCGGTGGACACAACATCTTTGTATGTGGTGCTGAGGATCAAACCTGGGCCGCAGGAATGCCAGGTGATTGCGCTACCCTTTGAGCCACATCCCCAGCCCTTGTGTGGAGTTTTAAAAATAAATATTAGTAAGGTCAAGATGGTTGGTAAGGGCTTCAGTACCTCCCAGCTAAGACTTTATTTTTTAAAAAAATTGTTAGTACTGTGGATTGAACCCAGGGTGGGGATTTACTACTGAGCTACATCTCAGCCCTTTTTATTTTATTTTATTTTTATTTTGAGACAGGGTCTCAAAATAAGTTGTGTTGCTTAGGGCCTAACTATTTAACTATGTTGCTGAGGCTGGCTTCAAACTTGTGATCTCTCAGCTTCTACCTTCCAAGTCACTGTGATTACAGGTGAGGATCACTACACCTGGCAATGTGATTGATGTTTTTTTTTTTTTTTTAAAGACTTAGTCTTGGAGACAGAACCCAGGGCCTTATGCATGTTAAACCTGTCTTCTACCACTCAGCTGTATCTCCAGGCCCTGATTGTTACATCTTTTTCATGAGTTGATCCTTTGATCTACATTAAATGTTCCTCTTTATCCCTATTACTATTCCTTGTTCTGTAGTCTGCCATGCAGTTCACCTTTCTTGTTAATAGTGTTGCATGGTATCTTTTCCCAACCTTTTAGTTAACAGACAATATGAAGTTAAGAGTTTCTTTTTCCAGACTGAAAAATCTCTGCCTTTTAGAATGTTTACACCATGTATATTTAATATAATTACTGACATTAGTGGCTTTAAATCTACAACTTATTATTTGTTTTCTATTTGTTCATTTGTGGTACTGAAACTCATCATCCTTCTTGCCTCAGCCTCCTAGCTGCTGGGATACAGGGTGCACCACAGCTCATTTATAGTTTAATTACCTGGCTCACTCACAGTTTAATTACCTTACAACTGTATATTTCATTTCTGCCTCCCATCTTTTTTGTATGATTGGTGTCATAGATTATAACAATATATTGTTATAATCATTTATGTAATCATCAAAAGATGAAAACACATGTATTCATTTACCATTTTCATTTTCCTATGTATATTCTTGTTTACACTTGGTTTCATTTAACATTTTCTTTAGTGCAGGTTCTGCTAGTGTGATGAATTCTCTTAGTCTTAGAAAAGTATTTTTTTTAGCTTCATTTTTGCTTAGTATGAAATTCTAGATTGACAGATGTTTTAACACAGAATGTCATTTTATTTTCTTCTGGATTTTCATAGCTTCTGACTGTGGTCAATTTCTCCTTGTTTTTTTTTTTTTTTTTTTTTTGGTATCTGTTGGTTTGTTCCCTCTGCATATTTTAAAGATTTTTTTAAATATAGGCTTGCAAGAATTTGATGTGGTTTGGTATGGTTTTCTTTTTGTTTATTTACATGTTGTTCATTGAGATTCTTAGATATGTGGATTTATAATTTTTATCAAATGTGAAATAGTTTTAGCTGTTATTCATTTTTTCTCTTTCCACATTTTTTAATTGATGCATTACATTTGTACATAATGATGGGACCTGTTGTTACATATTTGTACATGCATACAACATAATAATATAATTTGGTCAATAACACTTCCCCAGCACTTCTGTCTTCCCTCCCCACCTCCCACCCCTTCATCCCTTTCCTCTATATCCATCTCCCTTTCCGTTTTGGAGAGATTTCCGTCTCTCCACCTTTCTTTTCTCTGTACAATTACATTGTATAGTCTAAGTAGGAAATGAAGGTTGAGATCTAACATATAAGTAATCAGTATCCCAGGGCATATTGGACAGACTCTAAAACAATGGGGGACTAACTCAGGTCAAAGTTCAAGTGTCAGGTTTCTAGATCCCATAATTCATAAGCAGGACCTTCTAAATAGCAATAGCAGACCTGCTTTGTGAACATTTTTTTTTTATATTTGTGTGGGGGTGGGTACTGAGGATTGAACTAAGTCTTACTCACTCTTA